GTGGTTAATATTTAATGTTTCAAGACAGCTCCACACTCCTCCTCAGTCACCAGATATAAATATCTGACCAAATGTAAGAAAAACACCATATCTAGTGGACATTACCTAAAACAACTTCTTGTTCAAGAATGGGAACAAATAAACGTAGATTTAATCAAAAACCTAGTGCTTTCAATGCCTAGACGTCTACAAGCAATATTGACGCAATTGGTCTATTTACAAAATATTAAAACTATTAAAATTTAAAATAAACTAGTAAATTTGGAAGTGTGCAAATACTCTTTTCTAAGCACTTTTGTTCTTTTAATTATTTTGTTTGGTTATGAAGTGTTTTTATTTTATTTTTTTTTTTTGTAAAAAGGTTTTTTCAGTTTTTAATAAATTTACTTTTCATTTTTGCAAAGGAAAGCGAAGTTTTTTGTTTCCTTGAACTACTTTATTCATAAAAACGTCTTGTGCAAATACTTTTTTCCATCACTGTAGTAAGAAATTTTCATTTAATTTCCTGGAAAACATGTGATTTACGTTAAATAATATTAGTTTTAAAAAATATTATCTATAATTTTTTCGCAGCTCTCCATTACCATTTACAACTTTCTATATTAGATATAGTTTTTTTTCTAAAATTCTCCGCTTTCCAACGGTATATTATAGTATACCTTCTGACTATTATTTCCGGAGATTCATTTTCGACCTTGATAAGCATTTTTATTTTTTTCTCCTTTATTCACTTATCAAATTCTTTCAAAAGTTATATTTAGCATTTTTTCTAACTTTTAGTAATGTGAAATTATTAATTATTTAAAATAAACCATATTAAAGGTACTTTAGAGGGAGCCATATATGAAAATTAAGCATTTAAGCCCTGTAAAGTGACATCAAGGGGGATAAGACCTAATTGATATTAAAGACCACATCATTATACAATGATACATCGAGTTTAATCAAAATCGTAAAGGCTGTTTTCCAGGAAATTATAAAAATGTGTTTCAGCGTTGATATAAAGTGGCACTTCCGGTTAGCCGATTTTAAGGAAAAAGTTGCTGTCACATTCAAGGCATATACCTATCTTAAATACGTAGTATCAGCTTTATACAACTTTTTATTTTTGAGCTAGACTGTTAACATACAAACACACAGACCATTTTTCTATTACGCCAAACTATTTAATTAAAATAGTTTTACAAACAATTTAATTAAAATACTATTGTAAAAGTTTAGTATTTATTTGACCGCTTCCCCCAAACAACTCCTTCTTATCTTAACATGTAATAGAATAAATAAATATTTACCAAAATCGGATACCAATCTGGGCAAGGAGGAAGGAGTCACTCATTCACTGAGCAATAGTTCTTTCAGCTAATCATGACCATATAAATAAATATAAAAATCACTTGCACCTGGTTTTTAACTATAAATATAAAAACATAATTGGTCAGTGGTTGACTGTCGTGGATAATGAAGAGAAGAATAGTTGGGGTGGTCAGTCAAAAAAAAAGATTCCCTTTACAATACTTATGTCACCTTTTTTGACTATGTTTACTTCATCATTCCACACTTTGTACCAGTTATTATTATTTGTCTCTTGTTCTTACTATTGTCATTATTCTAACAACTTCATTTTACTGTAATTTTTATATTTCTCATACCTTATTATCTGGTTCTTTTCTTAGCCCTGATGATGGCCTGAACTTCAGGTCGAAACGTTGGCATATGTAAAAATAAATATTATCATTTATTTTTGCCTTCTTTTTTGACTGACCACCCCAACTATTTTTCTCTTCATATAAATATAAAAGTAGATCGGAAATGCTGGTGGGGAGGGGGGTTTCATGCCTGTGTAGGGCACAACTACAAATCCGCTCATTCAATGAAGTGCGGCGGCTACTCAAAAATATGATCTATTAACAAAAAATATTGATGAATTTTGTTTAATCTACTGAAATTTTAATTTTTTTCAACTTGAACAATTTTAATTAAACACGCACAATAATAAGCTGGGCTCGTTACAAATAAATTTAAATCTTAATCAACTAATCATTGCCATCCTACGTAATTATAATAATAGCTATGAAATAGTGGAGAAAAAAATAATTTATTTTTGTAGTTGTGAATTTAATAAATTATTTAGGAAAATGATAACATTGCGTCATAATAACCTGCAAATTTGCAACCTATTACTAAGAAGTAGGGATGGGTTGATACTAAAATTTTTGTATCTAGATACAACTGATACGGGTACTTTTTTGTATCTGATACTTTTATCTGATACTTTTGTATCTGATACAAATGGGTCAGTAGTTGGTCATGACCTTCCTACTACTTTGTATCTGATACTAGTATCAGATATTTTTATCTGATACTGGCATCAGATACTTTTATCTGATATTTGTATCAGATATTTTTATCTGATATTTGGATCGGATATTTTTATCTGATATTTGTATCAGATATTTTTATCTGATACCCGCATCGGATACTTTTATCTGATATTTTTATCTGATACCTGGACTAGATACCCAGCGGTATGCATACTGGCGCTTGGTGTCTAGTCTAGTCTTGGGCTTATTAGTTAATATATAATAGTTCTAATGACTTTATAGTTATGTCAGATACTATGAAGATATTCACACAGTTTTTTAAACAAAATGTGATTCATATTAGACAAAAGAATGGAATATATTAAATAAAATATAACAAATTCATGCAGAGAAAAATTTTTCCTAATACAACGTTCTTAAGAATTTTGTAAAAATTCTTAATAGCTACGTTTAACATACTCACACACACATATATATTTTTTATTTTCACTGATCAATCTACATCTTGGGATTTAGATTATATAGGACTTGTATAATGTTTACAATACTATTATTGTATTCTTTGAACATATTAAATTACTTATGTAAATCATTTAAAGTAAATATTAATCCACTCTTTTATTATTTTTTTTTTCATTAATACAATGTTATGACATCAAAAGTAATTTGTCGTTCATTTCAAATTTCAGTTAAAATTCCATAGTTTATTGTTTTTAGTAACTATCTTGCTGTATTGGGACCTTATTGCTCATATTATGTCTTTAATATATCAGTATAGTTATGTAAATCCTTCTGTTATTACTTATTTTTTAGTTTTTTTTTTTGTTTTGTTTTTTTATTGTAATATGTATTTTGGCAAGTTGTTATGTTAATCTTTATGTACAATATTGTTATTCTCAAGAGACTTTGTCCCAGAATAAAGGTGATTATTCTATTCTATTGTATATATATATTTATTTTTTCTGTTTTCATTACAGACCATGTAGATCTTTTGCCACCTTAACAAGTATGCTCAATCTCTGCCTGTCTTGGGCTATTTTTTGCCATTTATCTGCACGCAGCTCTATTGTATCTTTGTTGATTCTATCTATCCATTTGCTTTTTGGCCTCCGACGTGGTCTTTTGCCTACTATAATAAAAATAGCCCAAGACAGGTAGAGATTGAGCATACTTGTTAAGGTGGCAAAAGATCTAAATGGTCTGTAATGCAAACAGAAAAAATAAATATATATATAGAATAGAATAGAATAGAATAGAAGAATCAACTTTATTCTGGGACAAAGTCCCTTGAGAATAAAAATATTGTACATAAAAATTAACATAACATCTGGCCAAAATGCATATTACAATAAAAAAAAACACAAAAAAACCTAAAAATAAGTAATAACAGAAGGATTTACATAACTATACTGATATATTAAAGACATAATATGAGCAATAAGGTCCCAATACAGCAAGATAGTTACTAAAAACAATAAACTATGGAATTTTAACTGAAATTTGAAATGAACGACAAATTACTTTTGTTGTCATAACATTGTATTAATGAAAAAAATAATATTAAAAGAGTGGATAAATATTTACTTTAAATGACTTACATATGTAATTTAATATGTTCAAAGAATACAATAATAGTATTGTAAGCATTATACAAGTCCTATATAATCTAAATCCCAAGATGTAGATTGATCGGTGAAAATAAAAGAAATATATGTGTGTGTGAGTATGTTAAACTTAGCTATCGTATAGTGAATATCTTCATAGTACCTGACATAACTATAAAGTCATTAGAACTATTATATTTAAAAATGGTGTAAAATATTTATTACAGGGACAAATTTAATAATAAAGGAATAAAATATATATAGGTACATATTTAATATATGTTTTATTAGGTATCAAATAGGTATTAAAATATCAAACCCGATCAATAATCAATTACAGTTGGATTAAAGTATCTGATACAATTATTGAGATATGAAGCCCAATATATTTCCTCTGCATGAATTTGTTATATTTTTATTTAATATATTCCATTCTTTTGTCAAATATGAAGCATATTTTGTTTAAAAAATTGTGTAAATATTTTCTTAGTACCTGACATAACTATACAGTCATTAGAACTATTATATATTAACTAATAAGCCCAAGCGCCAGTATGTATACCGCTGGGTATCTAGTCCAGATATCAGATAAAAGTATCCGATGCAGGTATCAGATAAAAATATCTGATACAAATATCAGATAAAAATATCCGATACAAATATCAGATAAAAATATCCGATACAAATATCAGATAAAAATATCTGATACAAATATCAGATAAAAGTATCTGATACTAGTATCAGATAAAAATATCCGATAGCAGTATCAGATAAAAATATCTGAAATTAACATTACATAAAAAAAAAAAAATAAGCGTGAATATATTTATCTACAAATAAATATTTAATTAAATTAAACTAAATGAATAGATAGTTCTAAAAAAATTGTGTACAACTAAAATTATAACTAAACATTTCTCTTATATCAATGTGGCATGTCTGGACAACCATTTTGTATCCATGTGAGCATCAGATACTTTTGTATCAGATACTTTTTGGTTGTATCTACTGGTTGTATCAGATACTTTTTTAGTATCAGATAAAAGTATCTGATACATACAATCCGACCCATCCCTACTAAGAAGTTGTTTCTCTTATAAATTTTAATTCCTACTCCTGCTAGTCGTACATGTACAAATGTGTGATGTAAAGAAGGTGAGTAATCATAAATAAATCTAATGTTGACAACTTATACAGTGTAAGTTGTCAACTCATCATAAGCTGATTAAGGTATGTCATGTATTGTTTATCCTGGGCTTCTTGACATTTACTGTCAAACTTGGACATGTCATTTCCTATAAAACACAGAAAGTTCGTTTTTAATTATTTAAGATCGATAAATATAAATAAGCTATTGTTAATGTTGACATTACTTAATTTTAGTTAGAGCAGATTTCAGTTTATTGTATTTTTTATTTACTTAATCTTGCTTCAATCTATAATTTTCGACACATCTAGTAACATTTGATAAATTATATTTGGTCCACAAGCTTTTTATAGTAAGATTTTAATATAATGTCTTATTTTATAATAAGACCAACTGTTTATAATGCTGAATGAACTATTGAAACCATGGATTTTAAATTTTGTTTGTTTTAGTGGATTTATAAACAATTGATAATATATTTTTAAAATATTGAAATATCATTATTTAATTATTTTCCTTCCATTTTGTTTTATTACGATGCTTTCTCGATCAAATAGATACAAGCATAAAAACAACTTTATGTCAAATACCCTACAAATCGGTTAGCAATATTTGGATGTTTCAGTTTTACTATTGTTGTTTCGTGTTTGTTTGACGGACAAACTAAGATCATTTCAATCACACTGTTCACAGAATTCCAACACTAGAGACAGTCTCCAAACCATATTTATAAAAATAGCCTTAACTAACTAATTCCGTAGGTTATATTACACGTTGAATATCAAAATAAGCACAATTCTATTTTTCTGACGGACAATCAGCATAATTTCCTGTACTTTTTTTGTAATATTAAGCCCAATAACTTAGAGTAACAATAATTATGAAGCTAGGAATTCAATTAAAATGAGGAAACAACAGAAAATATATAACAGTTCCACAGTTGGATTAAAAAGCCCAACTTTTTAATGAATTAACAAACATTAATAAATTAAATGATCCAGATTAGAGATAAATCATGAGATAAAATACCATTTATTTTAATTGACTGTTGTAAAATGGAGAAGTTTAAAAATTTGTTCTCTTCTTATAATTCTACTTATTGTTATTAAAATCCGAACATATCTTATCTCTTATTCCTTTATATTGTATGTTTTCATTTCACAAATATATTTGTACAGAATATTCTATAAGTACTTCAAGTTATATTTTATTATTTTATGTTGAGTGTATTGTACTTCTGAAAAAATATTATTATTATTAATAAGATTAGTTGGTTATTTTATATTAGTTAAAAAAGATAAAATTATGTTTATTAATTATATAGTATTTTTATCTATATTTTATTTATTTATTTTATTTTCTTCCTCTACCCTGCCTTTAAGACAATACGGGAGTTAGCAGCAGTGACTTGTGGTACACGTTCCTGCATAATAAATCACTGTTGCAAGTTTTATCTTTTTACATTATGATAAGTTGCTGTGCACTCAACCTGCTTGATAATTTGTCTCTAATTTCGTCTTCCTCCATCTTCTGTCCTAATCAGCAGCCTTCCAGGTACTGCTTCTTCACGCCTACCCAGAAAGAAGTCGGCTGGGCCCACAGCTTTTTTCCAATTTTGTTGTAGTTGTAGTTTGGTCAGTCCAGTGTTGAGTAGTTTTGTTGAGACATCAGTTGGAGTAAGTTTCTTTCTGTTAAAACGTAGTACCCTGTATCCCTCATCAATTTGGAGCCCTCAGTGCCTCATAGCTGGTGTAGATTACAAGGATGTGCTCAGCGGTTTCAGGTACTCCGCAAGTGGGCTATAAGGAATCAATGTTTTTAGCATGTTTAAAAAGTTTCGCTCTGAAACCTCCTATATGTCAAATTTGTTAGTAAATTATGTTGGAAATGAAATTATGTTTTTATTATCCTGAGACTGTTATCCCTTTAGCACAAATAGTAACAGAAGAAATGGCTGTGTGGCCGTACATTAAATTATATATTTACAAATCTCATTAAAGTTATAATATTAGAAGAGAAAAAAAAAATACTAAAAACTTACTGATATATATAAAACAAACATGTTATGTAATATAACTGAAATATATGTAACCTAACTTGCCAAAAGACTGACACGCTGGACTAGTTTTCCAGAAACAGTGTGATCCAGATGTGATGCTCACAAAATAATTAACAAAAATTAATTTTCAGATCCAAAAAAGATACCCACATACTTCAGTCTAAATGTCGGCTAACCTGATAAAAATATCGTGACTGAAATTCCTAGCAATTTTGTTTCGCCATTATAATTGTTCAGTTGACTACTTATTACCCATTTCTAAATGATTCGTAATTTACTTTTTTCTTAAAATTTAATAAAAACTCCATTTCATAATGCTTTAGCAGAGATTCATTTATGGGGAAGAACCCTTCTCATTTTATTTCAGGATGATCATAAACAATGATGATCAACTTTATCTTTTCTGATAGTCTGTAAGTCTTTATAATCGTCCAATACACCAGTATGTTCTACTCCCTATGGCCAATTTTTATTTTAATCTTAATTTTAATATATTTTATGAATAAAATTGTCAAACGTATAAAAGAAAACTATATAATTATGAATTGATAAAAATGCAAACTAGATTCAGAGATGGGTGTTGTGAGAAGGGTTAATTTCCCCATCATCGGATCATTCTTTCTTGGAAATTACTAACCAATGTTTTAAGGTCTAATCTCCAATATTACAATTGTTTTTTACCCCTTATCTTCAGTTTTACCTATGTTTTTAAAAGTTTGAAGGGATGGATGTAATTACATATTTCATTTATTTTAAAATTATATATAATAATACTTAAATTTAATAAATTGAAGAAAGTTATTTAGGAATCTACCTAAGTAGATTTTATTACTTTCACTTATTTACATTTAAAATACAATATGGGGTAAGGGAAAGATTGTAATAAATGAAACACTTTGAATCCTTCAACAGAAATACACATTTTGAGATCATTAATAACCAACTTTCGCAAAATGATCTTGTGTGTGTGAATGTTAAACTCAAAAAGGAAAAGTCGTATGAAACTGAAAGTATATATTTAAAGTAGGTGTATGCCTCAGATGTTACAGTAACCTATTCGCCACAATCATCTAATCTAATCCACTTCTGGATCTTTATGTCTTTGAATTTACAAATTTATCAAAAAAGACTCTTAACAATTTGAATAAACTCGTTATATCAATGTAATATAAAGTAATGTTTAATACCAGGCAGTTATTATCCTTATTGAAATATTTGTCTGGGCTAAAATGCTAAAGTTTCTGAGTTTCTTCTTCTAAAGTACCTTTAACTTTGTTTATTTAAAATAAGGTACCCTTTCAAATTGTTACTAATAATGAAAAATTGTTTGATATAAACCATGTTAAAATTTTACAATTGATTAAAGGAGAAAAAGACTAAATAAGATAAGACCAAGAAACACTGAAGACACCCAAGTGTGTTGGGTGGGCTCGAATTTTAAAATTAATTCTTAACATGCATTATATGAAGACATGAGAGACACCTCGGCTCCAGTAGTATCTATAGTATGTGCCTATGATATTAATTAATATTTAATTAGATAAATTATGGCAATTTGAAAACTATTATTTGTTGTATATATCTAACAAAAATCAATACAGTGATTAAAAAGGTTCTCCGTCTTTGTGCTATATTATAGACCAACGATTCTGAAACTTACTTAATCAAATAAATAATTAAAATATACAATTGTAAAGGAAATGGAGGGTGATAAAAATGCGTAAATATAACAAAGTAGATGTGTAAGAAAAACATATGTTAAATAATTGTTTTACCGTCTATAAATTTTAGTTTTACTTATCTTTATTTGAAAATACTTATTTCTACTCAAAGTAGGATGGTAAATGAAAGTTGTGTGATGCGCACACCTCACCACACTATTTTTTGTGTGTGAAATTGCATAAAAAGGTCAATAGGATTTTTTTATTTTGAATCCAGTATATTTATTGTATGTTTAATATTTTCAGTTTGATATTGTTTCAAACCTTCACATCGAAGATGCACAGCCAGAAAATGGAGAAATCAATCATATGAGCTATCTCTCTGACCATATTGGTGCACTTTTCCTTTGTGATGAATACAGTGATGTTTCCTTCAAGGTCGACAATGAAACCATTCATGCCCACAAAGTTGTTCTCGCAGCCTGTAGTGATTATTTCAGGTATAACATTTCATAAGTTTCTGTCCCCTTATTATTTTATTTTTTTGAAAATTTTAATTTTTATTGGGTTTATTTAATTTTAACTCTTCAATCTAGAGTAGCTTATATTGAATTTCTGATTCTTTGCACTTGTTTTATATTATCAGTGAGTATCCTGAACAAGGCTTACTTTTAGAGCTTTCATCCTCTTTAATTTTTTTAACAAAACCTGTTCAGTATTATCTCTGTAATTGGGTTTTTTAATTTATTTTTTTGTTTATAACAAATACTTCTAATGGGGGTGAAAATTTTTGTTGTTTATCTGGATGTTTGTGCGAAAAACTGTTGTTTATATTCTATTATTTTTTAAATTAATCAGTGTAATTTGTATCTGTTTTAATTTTATTATTAATTGATTTTTTACCTTATTATTAATATCACTTATAAGAATTTGTTTTCAGAGCCCTGTTGTATGGGGGTATGAAAGAGTCGCAACAGTCAGAAATTGAGATTATTGGAACAAATGTAAATGCATTTAAATCATTATTAAAATATATATACACTGGAAAGCTATCTCTCTCCAGCCTAAAGGTCTGTTTATAGTTACTTCTGGAAATTAAAATATTTTCACTATTTGCTAAGATAATCTAATACGATTTTGTGTGTGCATGCGTGCTTCTTATATATTATATTGCTATGTGTGTTTATATCCACATACGGGGTGTCTGGTAAGGAATCTGAAATATTTAAAGAAGTAATAATTGAAAATTGAAGCATTTAAAAATTCTAGGATGGAATCTGAGTGATAGTCTTCAAGTAAGAAGTCTGTAAGGAATAGTATATTTAATTACAGGAATACCATAATGGGATAAATGAAAATACTTATTTATTTCCACAAGACAAAGAGGTATCAATACTGACTTAAGCTAATAGCTTAGTATTATCAATTATTATTTCTCAAAAAATGAAACCCTTCAATTGCTTAAAATATTTTTATATAAAAGTAAATTACAAAAAAAGAAATTAAAGCTTTGCAATAATTTATTGTAATCATGTCTTCTGAAAACACAGGTGAACTGGAGGTGACAGAACATTAAATCACACTATTTCTTTATACGGCTAATGATGATTTTCAATTTATTGTATATAAAACCTCAACTTAATTAATAGGGACTTAAAGATTATTAAACAAGGAAGTTTCTCTAAAAGTGTGATATCTGTAGTGCTGCTAAAAGATGATAAAAAAGATATTAGTGAATAAAAAAAATAAGAATGAACCATGATTTTATAAAAAACAGAATATTGCATAGTTTAGCCATTTAAAACTCCCTTTAAAATACCTTTAACGAAGACAAACTCTGCTTGCATTTGAAGTAAATTTTGTCTTGTTTACTATAAAATTTAATTATTACATAAATGAAATATTTTTCTTTAGTTATTACTTCTTATTTAATAAAAATTCTGGTGCGCCCAACACACAACTTTCACATACCGCTCAACTTTGAATAGAAATTATTTTCTGACCATGTTGGACTATTATAAAATTTTTTAATTACATTTTTAACCGAGCTAAAACTAAAAAATTACAGCTAACAAATCATAAATGCCATTAAAATAACAAAAGTTCTATTTATTATATCACCGGTTGATTATGGATTGTTCGATTCGTTGATTATGGATTGTACAACTATTAATTATTAAACTGTTATTTTCCATTGCAAAGTTTACTAAAACGGAATTCAGAGATTTGCATTGTTTGTTATAGACAGGTCAAAAGTTGTCACACTTATTGTAACTGGATACTGTTCGAATATCACTAAAGGAAATTTCATCAAACTATTCACTAATTTAATTATCTAAAAGGTTATATAATGATTTTTTGAAATAAACGGACGATAGATACCTAAATATTTAAATATAATATCAGATCTAGAGTTATTAACCTACAGTAAATATATTTAATGTTATTAACGTATCTAAGAAATATTTTTATATTTCACTTCTTCTTTCAAACAAATACTACGAAATAGTAGTGGGTACTGTTGGAATATCACAAAGGAAAGATTCATCAAATTATTCACTAATTTAATTTTCTAAAAAGTTACATGACAATACTTCGGAATAAACTGATGTTGATACCTATTTATTTAAATATAATATCAGATCTAGAATTATTAAACTACAGTAAATGTATTTAAGGTTATAAACATATGTTTTACACATTTATGAAATGATTTTATATTTTACTTCTTCTTTCACCCAAGTACAATGAAATAGTTTTTTAAACAATACCATTGCCTTGATTGGTTGGATTTTAAATATTTTTTCAAAATTAAAAATATTTTAAAAGGCTTAAGAATCATCTTATTATTTCTGTATTAGACAACTTTTTCTTATTTAATATCTACTTATTATTCATTTATTTTATTTTCACCATGTACCTTTTATATTTTGTAGGCCTGATGTAGAGCTGCAAAGTGGGTCGAAACGTCGGCATAATAATTAAATAATACTATTTCTATAATTTAGTATTTATTTGACCGCACCTACCGATCAACTCCTTCTCATATTATATCACGGTCAACCATCTCGACATCATTTCTATATTATGTATTATTTTTTCTAAAAGTCTCTGCTTTCTAACGATATATTATACGTATACCTTCTGACTAGTATTTTCAGATATTCATCTTCAACTTTGGATAAGCAGTTTTATTTTTTTCTCCTTTAATCAATTATCAAATTCATTCAAAAGTTATATTTAGTATTTTTCTTAATAATGTGAGATAGTTAATGATTTAAAATAAACCGTATTAAAGGTACTTTAGAGGAAGACGTATATGAACATTGAGCATTTAAGCCCTGTAAAGTATAAACGGGGATAAAACCTAAATGATATTAAAGACCACTTAATTATACAATGATACACCGAGTTTAATCAAAATCGTTAGGGAAAATTGTAAAAATGTATTTCACCGTTGATATAAAGTGGCACTTCCGGTTAGCCGATTTTAATGAAAAAGTTGCTGTCACATTTAAAGCATATAATAATAATAATAATAAGGCTTAGCGAACCCGAAGGTTCGATGCCGACACCACCAATCGCTTGTTACACACCTCCCTCCACCGTTCCCCGTCCAAACCCAATCCCTTCAGATCGGCTTTAATACAATCTTCCCACCTTCGCTTCGGTCTACCCCTCGGACCCTTACCATTCGGCACAGCAAATATTAACCTTTTAGGAATTCTCTCGTTACTAAGCCCAACAACTTTACAAGCCCATTTGATTCGCCGCAATGAAATTACCTCAATTATATTACCCGGATACAGCTCACGCAATTCGGCGTTCTGTAACTGTCTGAACTCTCCGGTTAACTCATCCTTCTTCGGTCCGAATATTCTACGCAATACTTTATTTTCAAAAACCTTAAGACGCTGCTCATCCCTTAATGTAAGCGGCCAAGTTTCGCATCCATAAAGAACTGTAGGCAAGATAATTGTTTTATAGATTCTAATTTTTAAGTTTCGGGACAAGAGGCGCGAACTGAGTAGTTTTGTCACAGAAAAATAACAAGCATTCCCCGCCTTCAGTCTAACTTTAATCTCTTCTTCAATTTCGTTTTTTCTAGTTATCGTAGAACCTAGATACCTAAATTAATCTACCTGTTCAAACATATTACCATCTATATCCATATCACCACTAGTATCGCCATTTTTGCAGCTAACCATATATTTTGTTTTATCCACGTTTATTTCGAGTCCTAGTTCTTTACCGGCTTTCATTAACGTTGTCGTATTTAGTTTTATAGTTTCAACGTCTTCGCTTAACAGTACCAGATCATCAGCATAGCCAAGCACGGATGTTGTCCCGCCCAGATCCAACCCTTTCTCGGTTCGCATTACCTCCCTAATGGCATGTTCTAATGCCAAATTGAACAGGACAGGCGAAAGAGAATCACCCTGTTTTAAGCCCGAACGAACCTCAAATTTTTCGGACAAATTATTACCGATTCTAACTTTATTGAGTGTCTCCGTCAAGCACATCCTGACTAGATTTACTAGTTTTTTTGGAATCCCCTGCTCGATTAGAATATTATACAGTTTCTGGCGGTCAATAGAATCGTAAGCCTTTTTAAAATCTATATACAGCTGGTGAACAATACCGTTATACTCCAATTTTTTCTCATTTAAAGCATATACCTATCTTAAATACGTAATATCAGTTTCGTACGACTTTTTGTTTTTGAGCTGGACTGCTAACATATAAACATACAGACCATTTTTCGGGACTTGGCTATTTGGACTCAGGGTACCCCAAAACGCGTATTTCCGTTGAAAACTCAGATTCAAAAATTTTCACTTTTTTATTTTATTTAAAAATTTTCGCAATACTTACCCTTACTATATATTACATATATACTCAAGTGAAAGTAAAAATATGGTACTTAAAAAAATACAAACTTAAATTTCCAACTCTCCTGTAGAAAATCAGACCATAGTTTATATGAACTTTTTTGTTGCTTCTAATTTGTCTACTTTCTCTTATTTATATTTTGTTTATCTACTATCAACTATTTAAATATTTCCCTTTAACTATGGGACACCCTGTATACACAAAAAGCTGAAGAAGACCTCTGATAACTTTTTGTTTGTCTGGAAGATGACATACCCTTGACACTAGCTCTTACAAAGTTAGTTACCTTGTTCAGAATGCTTATTGGACATGATTATCTCCACGAGTATTTATACAAGATTAAGAATCGTGGATTTTTCTTTTTGATCCTTGTACAGTCTGGAAGATACAAATACTTCACATCTTGACAAATAAAGCTATTGGAGATATCATGAATGCATTTGTTAATTCTGAGAATCATTCGATAATTGAATGATTGATATCCAAGATTGGAATAATAAAACTTAATGACTAATTTCTCATAAAATGAATTACCTATATACCTGAATTACCGCTCACTTAAAAAAATAAATGAAAGTCCTAATTTAAATAATTTTTTTTAGGAAGATGCTATACTTGATATTCTTGGACTTGCGCATCAGTATGGATTTATACAACTTGAGAAAGCAATTTGTGATTATTTAGTCAAATCTATTACTAATGAAAATGTGTTTTCAATTTACGATGCTGCCAGATTATACCAACTCGATATAGTTATTGAGACTTGTAAGAAATTCATAGATCAAGTTTTTGCTCCAAACTTGTCTAAAGCTGAGAATCCGAAGAATTTTGTTAATTTGTCAGCTGTAAGTTCAACATCTGTCCCTGTTTTTTTATATAAACTATATTTAAATTTATTATTAATATATATGTATATATAAATATATATATATTTTTTTTTTGAAGGATGGATTGAAAGAGATCATTGAGCGAGATTCATTTTATGCTCCTGAGGTAGATATATTCCAAATGGTTGAAGCTTGGGCTGTGGCAAATAACATGAAGGGCATGCCACAGCTTGCTGATGTCCTGTCCGCTGTTAGATTTGAACTGATGACTCCTCGAGACTTGTTTTCAGTTGTACGCCCAACTGGCTTTGTACCTTCTGACACTATTCTTGATGCCTTGCAACTTCAGACCAATGCCAGAAACAGTTCGTTAAAATACCGAGGTTTATTGAGTGAGTAATTCACAAGACATTTTTTTTTTTAAATGTTTCGTTATGAATGTTCAATAAAATTGTTTTCTCTTTTAAAGTTTTATTTTAAATTTAATTATTACTAAAATAACTACTTATCAGAAATAATTTGTTACTTTTTATCTAAACATTTGTCATTTTTGTAAATTTAATCTTAATCTTCTGTTATGTCTTGCTTAACACAAGTATGTTCCTTGGCAATTCATGGAAGGAAAAAAAAATTGGAAAAATGGAAGAACTTTGTATTTTCTTACCTTCCAATACCCTAAACTGTTTTCTTTTTCCTTCTTAAAATTATAATATAAACAGAATCTTTAATTTTTAAAGTTAAAATGCATTTATTACACTTACGATGATGCATTCATTTGGTCATAAAATATTTGAAGTAAGTACGTATGCTATTGTTAAAATTTATCTATTATGTGTATTATAAATACTTTTAGGGAGACAGATTGGTAAGCCATTTGAATTTTCAAACTTTCTCTTAATATCTTTTCTCCCATTATTAACATATTGTTGACTGACAATGAGTTAAGTCGTCATTGCACTTACATTACAAAATAATAGCCGGTAGCATGATATAGTTTCTGTTTAAAATTGTCAGTCAACAAAGGGGTAATGAGTTAGGTGATAAGATTGCATAGCCTTCATCAATTTAGCAGTATCCAAACCCTTCCACTAAGAATTGAATAGTTTTAATATCCACACCTTGGGGACGGGGTGGCCGAATGGGCTAAAGCGTGTTCACTGCACCGCGAGTTGCCTGGCAACCGGGTAAGAGATTTGAGAAGATTAAAAAAGGAGTTCGCATCCCGGTACCAGAGGGGATTTTAAATTTCCCGCCCTCACCCTCCGGCCCAGGAAAATCCCGTATAGCCTAAAAGGCGAGGTAGTACCTAAATAGAAGCATTTTACTAAGTATGTTTGTAGAGAACAAGCAACTTTGATGTTAAGTCTTGCAGATGGTAACTTTTTATTACCAAATAGTTTGCAAATCCATAAATTATAATTCAATCTACAACCTACTTCTTTTGAGCCAACATAATTGTCTTATATAATAATGTCATATTATTTTTTTTAAAATCAGAGTAAGTACTATCAAACTTGATGTAGAGATGGTTGACCGTTGATATAATATGAGAAGGAGTTAGTCGAGGGTGCGGTCAAATAAATAAAAAAAAAATTAAAATATATAAATTATTTTAATTTTTGCCGACGTTTCAACTGCCTCCCGCAATGCCACATCCTACGCCCTGAAGACGACCTGCAAAGTGGGTTGAAACGTCTGCAAAAATTAAAATAATTTATATATTTTAATTTTTTTTTTTTATTTATTTGACCTCACCCTCGACTAACTCCTTCTCATACTATCAAACTTGTTTGTCCTGCTTATTTTATTCTGTATTGAGCTATTGTTGTTTTTCCCTAAATTTTCATTCAATGTTTTGAGTATTTCTCAGAAAACAGTTATTGAATCCAGTGTTCTACATATTGGAGCTTGACCCAAAAATTCTTGTTGATATAAGCTTATATTAAGCTAGAGAAATTTTTATTTACAGTGCTTATAAAAAAAAAATCTGGTGCACGCATCACACGACTTTCACTTTCCGCCCTTTTAGCAGAAATAAGTATTTTCAGACAAAGGGGAAGTAAAAGTAAAAATTATCGACGCTGTATTTATTTATATTTGATTGTGGGTATTTTTATTTGTTCAAATAGCCTTATATATACAAATTTGAATTTTTATATCGCTGTGTTCTATACAATTAAATGTTAAAAAACCAAAAAAAAAAGTTAAATACCAACAATAGCATTTAACACCGCGAATTGAAAACCACATATGTATATGTACATAATATTGTCCAAGTCCATATTATATTAAGCTAATATTACGTATGGAAGCATGTTATAATCTTTCGGGTGAGCTCGGCCACACTCGTATTCCTCTGATTCCTACATTACAACTATTATCCGTTATGATCTCTTATTTCTCCTTTAGTTAATTATCAACTTCTTTTATATTTTATATTTAACTATTTTTTATATCAAAGATTAACGTGAAATGGTTCAATATATCAAATAAAAAAAATTGAAGGAACTTTAGAGAAAGCTAATATTGAAAATTAGCCATTTAAGCCCTGTTAGAGAACATCAATGAGAAGAAATCCTACATTATATTAAAAACTGCTGAATAATACATTGATATACTGAGTTTAATCAAAGTCGTTAGAGACGTTTTTGAGAAAATTTTAAAAATGTGTAAAATCAATTTTATAAAATGCCACTTCCGGTTAGCCGATTTTGACAAAAATGTTGCTGTAACATCTCAGGTATATAAAAACCTTAAATATGCAATTTCACTTCCAAATGACTTTGTTTTTGAGCTAGACTGGTCACACACATGCACGCACGAACACACACAGACCATTTTGTGGGACTTGGTTATTTGGACTCAGATTAAAAAATTTTCATGATCGCAATACTTTTATTGTTATTTCTTTTTCCTCCCCTTCCTCGCCTTTTACACTATACAGGGATTTTTCCGGGCCAGAGAATCAGGGCGGGTTTATGCCAGAGTTTAAAGACCCCCTTGGCACTGGGACGCGAACTCTGTATTATTTTATCATATAATTTTCTATCCGGGTTGCCAGGGTATGCTTGGTGCTGTGCACAAGCGTTAGCCCGCTCAGCCATTCCCGCCCTTACGATCGCAATACTTACCCTTACTATGTATTACATATAAGGTAAATGAAGGTAAAAAAATTAAATATATGAAAAAAGTTGCAGCGTTTCTTGATAAGTGTGCTAATTATTGTTATATTTATACTAAAAATATTTCATTACTAGTTTATCATCTTCATTACATTTAGGTAGAAATTTATTTTGTAAAAGATTATCATTTTTTGTGTTTTTACCTAAAGATTGTTATTTATTCTCTTAGTAATTAATTATAGTAACAAGTCTTAACAGTTTTAAGTGATTTTTAATAAATTTAAGATGTTTAACAAAACTTAGTTAATTGAAAAGGATTTCAACTTTTTATTTTTTTTAATATAACAATTGTTTTATGCCTTAAATACTGCTTTATTTTTAGTACAAAATGAAAATCTCGCTGTTTCTCGTTTTGGCACCAAGGTATTACAAGGAGAAATGCGTTCTGCACTTTTGGATGGCAACACATTTCATTATGATATGGAAAAAGGGTATACAAGACATCACATAAATGAAGTTGAAGATCATGGGATTTTGATAAGGCTAGGAACTCAGGCTCTCGTCAATCATATCAAGATGTTACTATGGGATAAAGATTTGAGGTATTTTCTTCCAACTTTAAATTGTTACTTATGATAATACACTATATTGTTTAACTTCCTTCAAAATTCTTTAAAATATATAGGTAGCAATTAGGCTTCCAATTCGTTTAAGGTACTTCATCAATAATATGTAAGATTATTTTTTTTCTAAGTGGTTAATTTTTTTCCCTCCTTTGATCATGCTGAATTCCTTAATGTGATCATGAAACTGCTAGAAGATATCAATAGAATGAACACTTGTGCCACTTTCAATAAACTCTTCTTTTTTTTTTCCTTCCTTGCCTTTTCAGCTATCCGGGTTTTTTCCCAGCCCAGGGGAAATAATGGAGGATTAATGTTAGAGTTAAAAGTTCCCTAACACTGGGATTTGCAGTTGTAATCTTTGTTTTTGTAGATTACTGGGCAACACATATTTTACTTACTCCTTAGTCCGCTTAGCCACCGAGCTTCACATATTCTCAATAAGATTACTCTTATTGCCGAGAAGACCAAAACCATCATAATTGGATCTTCCTCTCTCCTTAAATCAATCCATGGACCTCTTAAGCACAAACTTCATAATGCTGGCTTTTTTTGGAGGTCCTTAATGTGTGTGGAATCCAACTTAAAAGATTTTTTACCTTTCCAATCGCTTTGAAGTGATCATTGACAGTAGATTGGTTATGGTTAAGTTTTCATGCAAGTTCGCGAACAGTTGTTCTGTGGTTTTCTTACACCAAAGCCACATCATCATCAAGATAGGAAGTCCTTCCACGAACCTTCTTTGTCTTCAAGGCAGAGAAATCTGATTCCCAAAATTTGTTGAACCACCGTTGAACAGTGAACTCATTAATTCTGCTCTCGCCCCAGACTTGATTGATGTTTCTGGCCATCTGGGGCCCATTCCGGCCGAGTTTAAACTTGTAAAACAAAATTATATGAAAATCACTCGTTGATATCTTAGAAAAGACTGAATTATTTTTAAGCAGTGAAATGTTACAGAGGTAAACAAACATTATCATTTAGAAGAGGATTAATAAGTTTTGACATTCATACAAATGAATTATCCAGTAAACGTAAACAGTTTGTTAAATAGGGAGGTAGTTTAACAAAAACTCAAAATCCTGCATTATTTTCCGAACAACCTAATATATATCGTATTATATTGTTCATTTTAAAATAATTATGTTGATTGTATTAACTCATAATTTTATAAATAATATAGATTCCCGAGACTTTTTTGGGAAAGAGAGGAGAAGGTGGGGGTCCATCATTCCCCTCTCTCCCCCCAACCAGAATGGAAAGTTTGCACCTATGGCTGAGCTATGTATCACAGGTGGCCAAGAATTGTTCACAAAGTATTGATAACTAGAATTAGCTTTTAGTTTATCGTTGTTATCAAAAATTTGTTTCTACCTTTATCTAAAATTGTTAGAGATTCGTAATAACTGAATAATTCATCATAAACATGATTTTGTCCAAAATTGTGCTAGGAATATACATTTTTATATTCCTTGCATTGTTATTTGAATAATTTGTCTTAACTAGAAATTTATGCAGAAATATTGATGAGTCTTAGAAATTAGTTCATATTATCCAATATTTCCCATTAACTAAGTTTGTTATCACTAAGGAATTTAAGTAAATATTATAATTGTCAGAAAGACTAATTACTTGCAGTTTTAGTCTTATATCTGGTTTCCAATTTAGACACTTGTACATATGAAAGCTCGTGGTAGAGTATCTCTTCAACAGGAATAAGCAAACTATCATTTAAGTTTACCATAAAAAGAAATTCATACGCTTTCAGGTGTCTATTATAACTGCTTTAGACTACATAGTTCAATTGGTTAAAAAAAAAACATAAAAAATTGTTTATTTTATTTATTTGTTTTTTTAAACATACTTTCACATGACAATCTCCAACAAATTGTTTTGTCAAATATTTTTGTTGGTAGTGCATACATGATTTCTCTCCACAATATTAGAATTAGCTGTTGATTTATTTAGTTATTTCCTATAGCATTTCCAAGCCAATTGTAACCTTTTCCATTTCAAGTATAACTCTTTCCAAATCAAATGTAACCCTTTAAGATTAGAATTGAATTGAAAAGAGTTATATTTGAAATGGAAATGGAAAAGGAAACAATGGGCTTGGAAATGCTGTAAATAAAATAATTTTTAAGGCTTAACACATATTTGGATATTCAAAGTAGGACAATTTTTATTTTAGACAACTTTTCTAAAATATGATGGGACTATATTTGGATAATAAAAAGGCAAATTTATGTCTTAAGTACTAGTTTTTGGGTCGAAATTCCTTTAAATTTGTTTTATAGTGTAGACTTCTTGGCTGGCAAGGTTTCCAGTTATTCTGTGTTAAGAAATTTCTTTTTTGTTTTCATTATCATTATGTTTGTTATGTCAAATGTATTATTTATTAAAGATTTTTATTGACCTCCTTGCTTAATCGTTACAAATTAGTTTATCTATGCTGCTGCCATTTTTTGCATGTTTTATCAATACTGACCCCAAGATCTTCCAAGGGTTATAGTTTTCATAAAAATATTTTTATTTTTAGTGTTTGCTTTATTTTTAAAATATTAAAACTTTAATTATTCCATTTTCTTACAGGTCTTATTCTTATTATATTGAGGTGTCAATGGATCAGAATGATTGGGTTCGAGTAATAGATTATTCAACATTTTACTGTAGATCTTGGCAGAAGCTGTATTTCGAACCTAGAGTAGTTCAGTACATTAGGATAGTAGGTACTCATAATACTGTCAATCTTGTGTTTCATGTTGTTTCCTTTGAAGTCATGTACATTACAGATCTTCCTAAAACTATCAACGGCCTAGTCAGTAAGTATATTTTTATACAATTCTTTTTTTTAAAATATTGTTCAACAAACGTTTTTAATGTCTAATGTAATTAGTAACATTGATTTAAATATTTTCCTATTAAATTAATTATCTCTGAACATGATGAATTTATACCATAAGTGGGGAACCTTTTTATCATCAGATGATGCAGTAAGGTTGGGAGTGGGATAGCTCAATGGTAGGGCACTGAACTTTTAATGCTTGAGCTCCCAGGTTCGAATCCCGCCTCATGGCAGAAAAATTATTTTTTCTGTTTCATCGGCCGTAGGGCGACCCTGGGGTAGGGAGACCCTACTGGGCACACCTAGTCTCTACTTACTAAGTGGGTAAACTTGATTAAAATAATTAATTTAGAGGGAAATCCTGACGATTGAGCATGATCCTGGCCCAATCTCCTCCCTGCACAACTGTTGGCCTTGAAACAGTACTTTCCCTATATAGTACTGAACCCACTATCCTTCATGGGTTGTAGTGGTACAGGCCGCAGTAAGATTAAGACATTGCTAATAAAGGCCACAACAATTTTTTATATTTTACTGTCCCTATTTTTATTTTTCATTAAATACACACCCATGTACATATATTCTATCAATATTCGTGTTTCATTTTCAATTTTCATGGTTTATACTGTTTTTATTCATTGCTTTCATTTAAATGCCTCGTTGTGGTTTAATATAGAGAAGAACGATCCGTGGATTCCTATTTTTAAAGTTTGTTTTTATAATAATTAAATACTGAATTTTCATTTTGTAATAAAATAAACAAAAACTCAATAACTCACAAAAAGTCCAACATTAAACTCCCGTTATTTTATAAAACTTCTAAATATTTATCAAGTGATTAAATTAGTTAAAAATCATATTAAGCTGAAATCAATTATAGGAAAGTATATTATCAATTAAAACCATATCAATTAAAACATTAAAGTTTTAACAAATTAATGAATTAATAATAATTATGAAAATAATATTGGAAACACTTTGAGGGTACATCCAGCATGAGCAGGAGAGGGAGAGGGAGAGGGAGAGAGAATATTATGATCTATACCCATCCATAGTTTAACCCTTGCTAGTTTCATTAAATTTATAATTATAATATTATATTTTTCTTAAGTTTACAAAAGCTTCTAAACATTTCCTTTAAATATCTGATGAAGGCTAAATACTTTTGATTTAGTTCTCTGGAAAGAACGGTAGCAGGCTGTATGTGCAGAGAGAGAGAGAGAGAGATTTTGTCATTAAAAACAATCGACTTTGATAAACTTTAATTCATTTAAATGATCCGAGCATGGAATATATATATATATATATATATATATATATATATATATATATATATATATATATATATATATATATATATATATATATATATATATATATACATATATATATATATAATATATATATATATATATATATATATATATATATATATATATATATATGTATATATGAAAGGGTAAAATTAAGCTTTTTCCTCAATATAAATTTTATTATTGATATATACCCTTGAAAAAATTTAAGGATTATATGAAAAAATAAAATTCTACTAAAATAAATTTAACAAAAACAACTATTACAGCTATAGATTTATAGTTTTTGAGTAATCAAAAATTGAAAAAAATAAAAAGTTCTTTAAAGTAGAATTGCTACTAAATGTTTTTAAAATGCTATATCTTAGCACCACATAGTCCGATTTTGATAAATTTTTTTATGTTTTGTAGGGAATTTAGTAAGCTTTCAAATAGTCATATGTCGAGTTATTCCCTAATTATGACTTTATTTATAACGTCTCAATTAGTTGAGATGGCACCATCATACAGTTTGAAACCTCCCACTTTTACATTCAGTTTTATTTAAATCCAGGTATAAAATTAGGAATCAAAATTAAGATTCGCGCACTCTATGTGATATTCTCTTTCTATTAATACCTCATTCGTCAAAACCCATCACTCCTGAATGCCGGAAAAGGGATATATATTTGAGAAATAATATATAAGAAGATTAATAATCACCAGAAAATCAATCGATTGTCTTCCAATGAACTATTTGGTACTATTTCAACCAGTGTTTTTGAGTTTGAAATAGAATAATTATAATTAATCTTTTATTTATTTTGGAACGAATCCTTTTAGAATAATTAACAAGGAGAGAAATGTGGACTTTTCAGCCTCAGGAATGTATAAATGTATTTACAAAATAATTATATATAAATTTGAAGATTGGGGACGGGTATTGTGGGAATGAACAGAGGATTTAAATTGAAGGAGCTCGGAGATGTATGAGCGGCAACGTGAGTGAATGACTTCAAAGAGGAAGGATGCCAGGAAATAATTACGGCGACAAGAAAGATAAATCCTCTTCAACTCTTCATAAAAGCAGGAAACAAGGGCATCCCTTGGAATCCCGAAGATACATCTTACAAAGCAATTTCTCAAACGTTTTAGTTTCGTCTCGAGATCCCCAGAGACACCTCAATATACCGTGCAGCAATAGACAAAGTGGTGAAATATTAAGAAGGTAACCAGGAGTCTACGGGTTTTAAGAGGAAAAAAAAGGAGGCTATTTAAATGTTTAAAGGTGGAAAAGATATGGCTAGAGATATTGGATATATGTTTTTTCCTTAATAATAAGAAAAAAAATTATTACTTCTACTTGAAAAATCAAGCAGCAGAGATATGACTGGAATTGGTTGAATGGAAATTTCTGGAAAAAAACTGTGGATGATGAAAATGGAAAGAAATTAGAAAATTAATTTTACTAAGGAGGATAAAATAATTGATATTTCCATTAATTAATTAAAGAAGAAAATGACATCCTTTTGGTTGTGCCTATGTGCTAGAGAATCAATATTTATATTGATATTCATAATTGAAAAATGTTTATATTATTGATGACTAGAGGCCCCATGTCCGTGCTGTAAAAATCTGAAAAAAGTGCAGCAAAAACTCAGAATGTGCAAAATCCTAAAATATGTTAAATTGTCTAATTTGCACCTAAAAATGTACAAAAGTCATCTATTTTGTTTAATTTATAATATTAATACTCAAAATCATATCAAATCTTATGTTAAACTCCTGTATAATTTTCTTTCTTAAGTCATAAATTTAATATGGACAAGGTAGTAAAATAAAAAAGTACATATTTACATACACATATATAATTATGTTTATAAATAATTTAATCTATCACAAAACATGCAATTTAATGCAACCAACATTTAAGCCAAAAACAGCAAAATGTGCAATTTTGTGCAATATAAAATTTAAATATATTATTCTACAGATCCTGAAACAGATAGATATTTATGTCCGAGGTTTTTACACACAAGCTAATCAAACTTGCAATAATATGAAAATCCAGTCTCTATTGGTGACTATCGATTATCGATTAATTCCAATATTTTGATGCTATCTATAGTTATAGGCAGATATTAATGTCGATAACCATATCGATATTGCGCCTTCAATATCCTGTTCCTAGTATGTGATTCACTTCGCCTGTAATCATTTGTTTTTAAAGTGGCTTGATTTCATTTCGTTTCTGCAGGGATTTAATCTCAATCCACTAAATTTTTCACTGTTAATTTATATTGGACCCAAGTATTGAGCTTCTTCTGGAATCCATTCAAAACTGTTTCCTGGTCGATGTTTGGTTCTATGATGAAATATGTCGGTAAAAAAAAAAAAAAATGTTTTAACTCTGCCATTTACATAACCGCTCATCACTATGAACGACATACAATTTTCGATGAGCCTGTGTTGCTTTTTTCCCATTAGAAGTAAAACAGCGAAATACAATGAAAATGATCTTCCATGAAATGAACCTTCATTTTCAATAAATAATTGTTGACTGAGGGTTTGTTCCGACAAACAGTCCTGAACCAGTACATTCACTAGTTCTTCAACTTGTTGGAAAGCTTTTTACCATTTTTTACTTCACTAACGTAGAAAGCTGCTCATGCATAGGTTAAAAATCTTGATGTTTCAGTTGGTCCACAAGTCAAAACTTATTATTTGTTTTATTTATCCTGACTCTATTCCAAAACCAATCAATTAAATTTTGTTTCTTAAGAAAGGTTTTGAATGAATTTGAAGTTTAATACATTTAGTATCTATTGGTGGTATTTTCAAACTTCACTTTTGAAAAATAATGTAGTCAGAGGTTTTGAAATATGGGTTTCATTATGAGATGTCATAAAATCATCTATTAAGACTACTGTGTTTATTTTAAATTTCACAATAAAAAATTTCATCTAGCAACAACTTTAATGTACTTATTTGTTAATAATATAACTTTAAATTTTCTAAAAATCCTATTTTATTTTATCTTAAAGGTTTTATATCTCATAAATGGTATTTGCCTTTGAATCCTGAAGTATTCCACCATGATGAATGAATGCTTTAAACTTTAGTTTAAATACATTATTATAGTTAAAGTTCCTAATTTGTGTGTTATTCAATTTCATCTTTGATTGTGCCCACAATCCCAAGGTAAATGAATGACGATATTTTTATATATAAAATGTTCTATGTGCTGTGACCTTTCAAACGCACTAAAGAATGGCTTTATTGCAGGATTGCAAGAGATAAGAGACTTTAATAAATAAACAGAAGACTGTTTACATGCAAACGTCAAAAAAGCCAAGTGAAACAGTCGAATGCGTCAAATGGTAACCACACCCTAAAAGTGGCTGGAAATTTTAAATATTTGGGAACACTAATCACAGAAAACAATGAAATGGTAGAAGAATTAAAAGCAAGGATGACTGCCGGGAATAGGTGCTGTTTTGCATTGCGAAAAATATTGAATTACAGATCTCTTTCTCACAGAACAAAGATCACGGTGTATGAGAAAGTCATCAGATCGGTCGTCACCTATGGCTCTGAGACTTGTGTAATCTCTAAAGCATCGGAAAAAAGGCTACTCGCATGGGAGAGAAGGCATCTTCGCAGAATCTATGGCCCGTTGTGCAAACAGGGACAATGAAGAATTCACACAAATAAAAAACTACGTGAAATATATGCGAGGCCGGATTTGATCTCAATTGTGAGGGGAAACCACATCAGATGATTGGGCCATGTGGCGCATATGCCCAGAGACGCGATTCCCAAACGCTTTCTAGAGGATCGACCTGTTGGAAAACGTGGAAGGGGAAGACCACGCCTGAGATGGCTGGACCAGGTAGAGGACAGCCTGAAAAGGGTGGAAATTCGAAGATGGAGAATGCTCGCTCGGGATAGAGGAGAGTGGCGAAGGATCATAAGAGAGGCCCAGGTTCTTACAGGACTGTAGCGCCAAAAATAAATAAAGAGACTTTAAAGTCACCTATTGGGATAAAGCGAATTTACTTTTTCCTTAACCCAGTATTTGTCAAAGTAATATTTTCTACGTGTTAAGAATAATAATGGCAATGAACATGTGATTCAACACTATTGAATAAGAAGATTACAGGAGTGTGTACTTAAACTGGTCCTTACATGGTCAATATCGATTATATTGACTGAAGGATACATCATAAGAAATATACTTACATTTGTAATATGTGTATCATGTTCAATAATATTGACTGTGTAAGGTGGGCTTAATGCGATGTTCTGTACATTATTTTTCTGTTACAATTTGGCTGATTCTATATTTTTTTAAAGGAAATACTGGCAGCTCACTTTCAAAGTTTTATTCTAATTAACTTATTCACTAATGCATTAATAACTTTATAATCTGTGTTATGGGCCTTCTTACAATCAAAACCTGATTAACAGATGTTCCACTGTGAATTATTAATTATTATTTATATTTAACCATTATTTGAATATCCAAATAAAATCAATTTTTGTATTGCAGAACCCACATACAACGTTGCTACAACTTGCGAAAGTGCAACTGTTGTTGAAGGAGTTAGTAGGAGCAGGAATGCATTATTAGATGGGAATACCAAAACCTATGATTGGAATTATGGATATACTTGCCATCAAATCGGTAGTGGAAATATACTGGTTCAGCTTGGTCAGCCTTATCTAGTTGATTCTATGAGGTATTTTTTAATCAATATTCAATAATTTATATATTAACTACCCTGATTTGATTTTGTTTAAAAAAAGAATATATTTCTAAAATGATTACTGATTAGCATAAGGTCATAGGAGAAAACTTTTTCATGGGTACACCTTTTTATTAATTAATTCTAGGCTCAATTTATATTCCATTGGTTAAAACATATAAAGCATTGCAATAAGGTTTTAAGATGCTTTCTCTACTAACTGGTTCTGTGCAATTCTCTCTCTATTAGCGATCCAAGACACATACAGTAGCCGTATGTTTTTAGATAAAGATCAAATGTGCATATGGAGATAAAAATCAATTGAAAATTAAGAGTGTTTTCCTTGAATTTGGTAGTAACAATATTTTGGTAATGTAAGTTATATTTTTTCTTATGTTCTATTTGTTGAGTTAATTTTAATTATTTACCTATGTTATGGTGTGAGCCCCAAAATCATTTTTTCTATAACACAGAAAACTTTTATCTTGAGTAGAAAAATAAAATCTACTCAGAAAAAAAATATGTGTGTAAATCCTCAAGCAGTGCAATATTTCTAAACTTTAAGAAAAGGTATGTTTTTTCTTTTTCTATTAATGTTAATATCCCATCATACATCATACAGTGAGATTAATAATATGAAAAATGAATTATAAATAATAGAGCTCATTAAAAAGAGAATGAAATGTTGAAAATTTTCCTTGCTTTTTGAGTTATTATACTCCATATCTTCAATAAAATCATAATAAAATAAATAAAATCTTCAATCCATATCATCGTGTTAAGATACAATTTTAAATAAAAACCCATTACAGAGAGGATGAAATGCGGAACAATTCCCTCGCTTACAGTATGCAGGTCTGATTTTTAGTTCCAGTTTTCGACACTATTTTTTCCCTTTTCGCCTCTCTAACATGGCTTAGCATGAAGATACAATTTTGAATAACAGCTCATTGTAAAGAGGATGAAATGATGAACATTACTCTCGCTTACAATATGTATGTCCGATTTTTAGTTTTTTGAGACATTTCAACTATATGTAAAACCACTTCAATTAGTCGACTCCAGCCGACTTTACCCAAGCTTTTCACATCGGAAATCTGACGGCTTAATCTAATTCACTCTTCATAAAAAAGGGCAAAATGCACCTAAAGAAGTTTTGCCTCCTACTATGGTGAAATAAACAATTAAAACAACAATTTTTTTCATATCTTAATAGAATGTTGGAGAAGCTATACTGACATACTTAGCCTCTGGTTTCTTAAGTGTTTTCTTCCACCATCACCATTTTGATAAATTAAATTCAGTTGCAAAATTACAAAATGTTCAAAAACAAAACTTGAACAAGAAATTGAGCAATTCAAGCAGCTCTTTGGTTTTAATCATGTTTTATTTCATTAGATCAGCATTAATAACTTTTTTTTTCTTTTTCTTTTTTTTATTAACGAAATTTACAACTGTAATTAATAATAAATACAACAAGTAAATATGAACAAGTAATATGACATGTACAACATGAGGAGAAACTACCCATTGGTAGCACTCCAATTATATTTCTATATTAGAAGGTCCTGAGGCCATCTTCTTTTTAGACGCCTCGGAGGGTTATCAGGAATAGAAGAGGAAGCAAGGTTGGAAACGAGAGGGATCGGATGGTTCAGAAGTTTATTATGAAAGTACAGGTATCTGGATTGAGCTAAATCGGAAACATATGGTACATTAAGGTCATTATGGATGATTTTATTTGTGACAAAGTAGGGAGCATTAAGGATTTTACTAAGGATTTTGGATTGTAGGGATTGGATACGAGAGGAATTTGATGGTTTAGTAGAGCCCCAAAGCTCGATCCCGTAAGTCCAAACAGGCCTTATTATAGTAATATATATGAGTCTTTTGTAAATAGTTGGCAGTTTAGAGCGTTTGTCTAGTAAGTGCTGGAGTATTCGGAAATGTCGGGCGGTTTCTAGTCGTTTCAGTCTGATATGGGGGTTCCAAGTGAGTCGTTTGTCAAGGTGGAGTCCTAGGTATCGGATTTGGTCAACAGGGATAAGTGGGGTATTGTTAAAGGATACTGTAGGACAGGAAGTCATAGGTTTACGATGAGCATTAATAACTAAATAAATTTTTGTTTCCCAAACAAAATTGATGAAAAATATGATCTAAGTGATAGTGCTCTGCTGCTCATTTTTTGTTGTTATTTTATTAAAATTTTACTTACACTTACCTCAGTACGTTATATATATTGTAAGAAAAAGTATTGCAGTCTTAAAATTTTCAAATCTGAGTTTTCAGTGGAAATACGCTTTTTGATATCCCCTGAGCCCTCTTAATCAAGTTCCACTAAATACTGTGTGTTTATGTGAACAGCCTAGCTCAAAAATGAAAAGTTGCATGTAACTGCTATTACAAATTTAAAGTAGGTATTTGCCGGGTATATTCTCCCTATTCATGTTGTCACTGAGCCTTATTTGGGAATTATTACGTGGTAACTTGTTTTCCGAAATATCATGAAAGATGCTTGGAGACTATTTTGCACCTGTCAATCAGCTACCTCTGACTTCAGTGGCTTTTTAAGGTTTTGTTCTCTCCCAGTTCTTCTTCTTCACCTGATATCTGAACATGGACCCCGCCAGCTAATACCGTAATACTAATGGTGGTTGCTGCTGGCCTTACCAGGAATATTTATTGACCTTAAGGTCTGTGTTTAATCAAGAGCAGAATCACCTCAAGCAGGATGCAGTTCTTCACAACACACGGTCTTGGGTTTATAGCATCCTCAAGATCTCAGCCTAGGCCTCACAGATCTCTCTGCTACTCCCCTGAGGCTGGGTGGAGACCAGTACACAGATCAATACTGCAAGAGTACTATCCCTTCCCAATCCCTCGACTCCAATAATTTTCTAATCATATTTAATAGTAAGTATAATATATATAATACTTGACCGATAAAAAACTATTTTATTGTACTTGTGTCATAGAAGAAATGAACTGTTAAAATATTTCATGGATCAGTGAAACATATGTTTATAACCTTAAATATGGTTACAGTAGTAACTACAGTGTATTTTAATAACTTTAGATCTGATATTATATTTAAATAATTAGGTATTTATACATTACCGAAAACATTATAGAATTATTATTATAGGTATTTAAATTATAGAAAATTAAATTAACAAATAATTTGATGAATTTCTCCTCTGTTAAATCTCTACATTCCACATACAATTAGCATGATAACTTTTGACTTATCAATGTTAGGCAATGAAAACTTTGAAACTACATTTTATAAAATTTGACTAAGATAAAAGTAAGAGTTTATTAACATGTATAATGTTATTCAGATTTAGTTTCTTTAAGTATTACTTTGTAATACAATCCTGACTTATTTATAGATTTCCTTTTAAATCTCTCTTTGAATATAGAGCTCAGAGACTGGAGTTATGTGGTTCAAAAAGACAGATGGAATTATGAGATTTTTATTACCTACCATCATATAATAAATAGGATTTGTGTTATTTTAATTATCTTAATGAATTTATACAGTTAGTTAGCTGTAAGATTTAAGGTTTAGCTCAATTACTTCAAACACTTTGTAATAACCTAATTTTGCCAGGAAATAATTTCTGTTCAAAGTAGAGTAGTAAGCGAAAGTTGTGTGATACGCCCACCAGATATTTAAAATGGTTTATTATTATCAATACTGTACATTTGTTATTGACACAATAAAAAATTAATCCACCCTCAAAATTTTAGTTAAATATTTTAAAAAAATGTCCATCCAACGTTCACTGTCTGCACCTAATCTCCTCTACAGTTGGATCAATTTTTTTGCAACTTGGACTAAAAGTCATAGGTCAACATAGTCATGTGTATGTTTGTGAATGTGTGTGGTGTTTGTATTTTAGAGTAAGAATCACTTTAATAATCATGCACCATGTTTTAATTTTTAGATTTAAACTCAGTTATATATTTATGTTGTTTTATTTTGTTAATATTTCAGGCTGTTACTTTGGGATTGTGATGATCGAAACTATCACTATTATATTGAGGTCTCTGTGAATAGAAGAGATTGGGAAAAAGTCTGTGATAAACGTGATCAGTTGTGTCGATCATGGCAGTATATATCGTTTGAAATGCGTCCAGTAGTTTTCATTAGGATTATCGGAACCTATAATACTGCAAATGAGGTATATTTTTCAAAAGTAAAATTGGAAAATTTGTTTGTAATTATTATGTATCTATTACTACCTTGTTTTCATCTAAATAATGTCCCTAACAAAGTATGGCATTCAATATAAAAATTCCAGTAATAATGAGTCCATAGAACCTAAGAGATAAGACCAATAATATAAAATTCAGCAGTCTATATTCATTACACTCCATGCGGGGTTCCAAAAATATAGTTACTCATAGTGCTTATTTTGGGGGGGGGGAAAAAGTTGTATTTATAGCGAATTATTCTTTTTATTTTTGTGTCTTAAGATATTTCTTGTTATATTCAGCCCGTAATGCTTCACCTCCTTCACTTTTCTGCTTTTCTTTGTTTTTCCAAACTAGCAATTCTTAGGTTTTATGTTCATTTTTTTTCACCACGTCATTTTGTGACACCTATAATGAAATGAGATTTCCTCAAATTAATACATATTTATATGTACATTGTTTTTTTAAATTTATTTTAATTTTTTTTTTTTGTTGAAAAATGTAACAAAACTATTTTAGGCATGGTCAACACACATGACATGCCAGCTTGTAAAATAGCTACTTAGTGCATTGTGAGCAGTGATGTCCTCAAATCACACTTGAAATTTTTTTGTTTTAATGCTACCACAGCTTAAAAGAATTTAATTATGCTCCTAAAAAACATGCCTCATTTCTATCTGTACTTGTCTTCTTTTTTTTTTATTTAATTTTTCATCAGTGTACGCTCCAACTTATGACAGGGAAGAAGAAGAAAAAGACAATTTCTATGGGAGACTCTCCCAAGAATATTACCTCATGATGATTAAAAATAATCATGGGTGTTCTAAATGCAAAGATTGGAAAAAAGCATCCTTCATACCAACTATTGGTATGTTTAGCAAACATGAAATATCAAACGGTAATGGAATAAGAAGTATAGAATTTGCATAAGAAAAATATATGGTGATCAAAAGTACACCCTTTTCTCCAAAGGAAATACACTAGTAAACCTGGCTGTTTATAGATAGAAAACATTGAAATCAAATTGATCATGTACTTATTGACAACATAAATGACTTGAGAAGTTACTGAGGAGCAGACACAGATACTTACCATTTCTTGGTTAAAGTACCTTGCAGACAGAGAATATAATATAATGTGCAAGTAAAAAGGAAAAGAGCTGTCAGGTACCATAGTTTAATTTTGAAAATTTCCCCCAAAAAGCTGGTAAATTTAAGGAAATTATACAGGAGTCATCTCTAATGAGACATGATGGAAATACAGAAATAAACAGTCTTTGGGAAAGGATTAAATCATCCACAAAGGAGGGAACTGAGGATTTATTGAAGATAAAACATAAAATTAAAGGTATGATGTGGAATGTGACTAAGAGAGGCGAGATTTAGAATGCTTACTGTGGGCACAAGAAGAAGCAGGGAGAATTACATCTATGAAAAGGATCGCAAAGAAGGTATGTAGGCAGAAGAAGAGAGGTTTTAAAAGCCTAGTATAAGTAAATTAAATAAAATTTACTTCAAAAAATAAAATCCAAGCTCTACATAAAAATATACTTTTAAAAATTAATGTTATAATGCATAATGCTACAGTATGTTGTCAGAATGATTTACAATACCAGCTGGCGATGTTTATAGTTAATAACCCTCTCTTCCTACACATAGGTCTTCAACAACATTGATCTAGTGCACGGGGTGGCCGAATGAGCTAACGAGTGTGCATAGCACCACCGTTGCCCGGCAACCTCACATATGAGACAACGATGAAAAATAGTTCCGAGTTCGCATCCCGGTGCCGGGAGAGTCTTTTAAATCCCCGCTCACACTCTCTGTCCCGGGAGAACCGCGTACAGCCTTAAAGGCGAGGACCCAAAAAAAAAAAAACATTGATCTCTCAGATAAGCCAGCCATAGATTGTTCTTACTACTCACATTAGACTATCCACAGGTTTCTGAGATTCAGATAGGTTATATTACACTCATCTACGTTGATATTGTATCTCACTTGAAAACAGCCCCATTCCATGTTTTTTGGTATGAGAAATTCGAATTTTCACAAAAAATCTTCAGTTAACTCTAGTTTCAAAGGGAAAATTTCCTGTTCCTGGGTTGGTAGGATTGATTTCCATCAGTGAATTGCGGGAAATGACTAGCTGTGAATCACAGAACCATTTTGCTGACAGTTGTATGCAATGTTTACATTTCAAGTTACTCTAGACGTGACTTTTCTTGCTTCAGGCATTCTTTCAACGATTTTGTCATGGCAACCCAATAGTTTTGGTGAAGTTATTGGAAAAATATATTATGAAGGTATTGCAAATGAGGAAGGAATTATTTCCAATATCTCGGTCATAAAAGCATAAAAGCATTTACATAAAATTATGTTCTATCATCTGGAGTGTTAGAAGATATAAAATTGACTGATGTTGTTGGTGTAATTTTAAAACGCTCATATAACTGGAAAAAATATTCTATATGAGATTGTAAACATTTTTGAATTAGGAGTTAGGAAAGAGGTACGTTAAGCAGATCAAGTTAGCTATTTTTGAGACTGTATTAATGACGTCACATTTTAGTTGATATATGGCCGTGTTGCATTTTCTCTATTACGATACAGGTCGTAGATTAGATGGGTAGATACTAGATCGTATGATCTAACTATAAGTTAATTCTGAAAATGCCTGGTTGTATCTAAAAGTAGACGGCGGCGACCAAACTATTTGAAGTCCGCGACCTCAACTGAAAAGGACTCGTTGGTGAATTGCTTATTCTCTTGAGCGAGCGTTGTAAGTGGATGTTAAAAACAGAGATGTTATTAAAGCTAACTGAAAACCAGTTTTTAACAGAAAAGAATGAGGCAGGGTGGCCGAGCGAGCTCTAACAAGGAACACGTTGCTCAGCAACCTAATAAATTGAAGATTATGAGTCTGAGTTCCAGTTTCGGGGATTAATCCTTCTCCCTCTCCCCAGGTACGGGATAAACTCCGTGCAGTCAGAAAAGCGAGATAGGAAAAAAATCTGAAAAGGACTAGTTCGAAATTTGCAGATGCCGCGATCTGAATAGAGGAAGGTTATATTCGTGAACACGTTGTCAATGCTCAACCATTTTCGAAATTCCATATATGATGTGCTGACATGACATGTTATGTCCACCCATCAAAGTTGAGAAACACAAAAACAATAGTACCACATTTTCTTTTATAATGCCTGGAAATCAACCTTATCATGAGTCGCATTCAATTGTTTTTCGATTACCTTTTGTCAGAAATTCTAGAGTAATTCAAGAAAATATCTTCTTAAATATGGCAGCAATATTTCAATCTCAGAATTCCTAAATCGATTTTTTCCCTGTCATCATTAGTCTGGGAAATGATTCTGATTAGTTTTAACAGGCTATACCCATGAATCTTGATGGGTATTACATTTCCTGGTATCTCCTTGCTTGTAAGGGGACAGAACTACAGTCCTATAATATCATTTTCTAATGGCATATTATTCAATTTGCATTGAAAAAGTGGAGAAATATATCTTCACATTTGTTGTCTGTGATACTAAGAGGAAATGATATTTATTGTCCTCCCCTCCCTTGCCTTTAAGGCTATACGGAGTTTTTCCGTGCCAGGAGATGTGGGCGGGGATTATAAAGAGTCCCTCGGCACCGGGACGCGAACTCGTGACTATTTTTATCTAGTTATCAATTGTCAGATTGGCGGGCAACGGCAATGTTGTGCACACACGTTAGCTCGTTCGGTCAACCCACCCTTGTGCTAATATCTACTTACCATTCAGAAAAGCTTGTTTATCTTTTTGATTCCTTCAAAGATCTTTTCCAAATCCACTAAACAGAAGGAGAGCTTCTTCCATTTCTCGATGGACCTCTCTATAACCTGCTTCAAAGTGAAGATAGTCCCAATGTGCAATTTAGGCAACAGTTAGAAATAAAATGATTTTCACCAGAATAAACCTCCATCATCCCCTTAATATCGTTCAAACTGCCCCAGCATTTGATCCCCTTTTAACAACTCTTTGAAATATTTTGTTCATCTTATATATATTCATACCATATTATATATTCGTTTAGCCACATAATGGATCCTGATCCTTGTTTTCTTTTCTGAGATTTTGGAAATTTCTTTCTCGTTTGCATAATGTATTTTTTTCAATTTTTTAGTTCAATTTCGCATTTTTCCTCGTTATGAGACCAAATATTAACAATTAGTTCCGTTTACCAAGAAGAATATATAGCTTTCCCTTTCTATCTTTCTTTGTGCCCAGTGAATAATACATTCAATATTAAAATTTCCTATTTTTTTATGCTATACGGCCAATACCACATGGGGACGAATTGCCTGTTCCTAGGCCTCCTGAACACTAAGACTTGAATGAGGACGAGGATAGCGAAGAGGAAAATCCTCTGGGAGGAACCCCATCAGATGATTCTGATTTTTCTTTCGAACAAGAATAACGAAAACCCCACTTGCTTACTGAAGCTGAACACTGAGACTTGATTCGGGTCCTGGATCTGCCCAAAGAGAAAGCAGAACTTTTGGGTTCAATGATGAAGCAATGGAACTTCTTACAACCTGGTGTAAAGATTGCAATGTACGAAAATTGTCAGAAAGACTTTTCAAAAAGTATGAGAACCTTGTTGCCTGTTGTGATGTTCCAGGTCTGATGACAGCATTAAATCTCTATCATAACCCTTCTGAATAGAGGCTGTTCATAGATTCATCAAAGCTATCCCTCAAGGCAGTTCTGTTTCACAATGGCAAAGTTCATCCCTCTATCCCTATTGGCCATGCTGTCCACATGAAGGAAACTTGCCAAAAAATGGAAATCCTTCTAAAATCCATTAAATACCAGGACTACCATTGGCAAATCTCTGTGGACCTGAAAGTGGTAACAATTCTTCTAGGCATCCAACAGGGATAGGGATATACTTAGTACTGTTGTTTCTTATGTGAGTGGGACAGTCGGTACAGAGCATCTCAAGGTAAAGAAAGAGCAGCGTGGGAAGCATTTACAGCTTTAGTTAATGGTTTTTTAGGTGACAAAAGAGAGGACAATTATGCTGTCTTAGTTCAAACCTTCCTTGAGAAGTATAGAGATCTCGATTGTAACATGATGTCACTCAAGATTCATTTTTTCACTCTCATTTGGACTTCTTTCCCGAAAATTGTGAATCTTTAAGTGACAAACATGGTGAGCGATTTCACCTAGATATATCCTTGGAACAAAGATATCAAGGTCGGTGGGATACTTCAATGCTCGCAGTCTACTGTTGGAACGTTATTAGGGATTTGTAATAACCTATTTTTTTGTATTTGATACTGAGCATAAATTTTTGCAGATAATTTGAGTTTCTCACACCATAATTAGTCAAGAGAAACAGTTTTAATCAAAGATGCATGAAAAAAAAGTTGTTTTGTAGGGCAGTGTTATCATTACTCATTAGACTAATTCAGTCATTTCTCCAAAAGTGATAACAAGAATCTAATGTTACAACTTATTGTAAGTTGTACTTAGTAACTTGTAAATACAACTATTTACATCAATATATCACCCATATGCTGTGAAAGCCTAATGATTCATAGTCACAATTTTTAAGGACATGCATTTGAAGTTTTAAATAATATATTAGTTTCTATAAAACTACAGTACTAATTATAAATATATTTTGCCTCAGTAGTAAAATAAATATCCTGCATCCTGACGTACAATGGTGAAATTGTTAACATGTAAAATGTTGAAACAATGTTTTAGGTATTCCATTGTGTGCACTTAGAATGTCCTGCAGTTACTGATAAGGAAGAAAACTGCTATAATGGCATCCCAGTTGAAGCTTCGCTCCCTAATAATGAGGTAAATATATTAATTGAACAAAACTCTTACTAAATAATATATACATATATATGTATAAATAAATCTGAAAAAAAAAAAATATATGCTATGTTTACAAAGCTTGTTCAACATTTATTAATTTATAATGGTGGATTGTAGTGAATAATCGAAGAGAAGTTAAAAAAAAAAGTAAATTATATTTATTTTTATGTTTGCCACCTTTGAAAAAAATATAAATATATTATATCGTTAATCTTAGAGAGAACTATGAAATTTTGAATCTTTATTGAATCAAGTTGAACATGATCCCAGCCCAAAATATATCAGCATTATTTATCAGTGGCACTCTTGTCAGACTAAAAATATTTCATGGCACTTGATTATTTATTATAATCAAGGTCAGGACTTCATTAATAATCTGCCAGTAATGTATTTAAATATACTGATGTGCCTTAAAAAAGTTTGAAAAGAAAAAAAGATATTATGGAGGGAATTAATAAAAGTTACAATGATTTCAGTTTTTTTTTTTATATATCTAAACTAAAGAATGAAATAAATTAAGACGTTGATCCAAAATTATAAGACTATTCTATTCAAAATAAATGTCTAATTCATGTGTTCTTCCAAGTTAATGTGTTTCTCATTATAAAAAAAAATTAAACTATATATATTGTGTTTAAATCATGGAATAACGATTGTATCATTGGTCACACTTTATAAAATATAAAAAATAAAATATAAAGACACTTTATAAAAATATTCCAACTAAAAAAAAGTTGCATTATTAGCACATATATACCGCATTATTAGCACACTTTATACCGTTGGGCTACTTCCAAAATAAAGAGGTTGTTAAACAAAAAACAAATTATAAGAGTATTAATATATTTATTTATCTCAGGTGTGGGTTACTGATAATCAGATCATAACACTCAGACAAACCAAAATTAATTATACTAAACACTGCTTGATTTTAAAATAAAGTCAAGTATGAATTGGCAAGCTAACCTTTTTTCTATGTAGAATAGAAATAGAAATAGAAAAATCATCTTTATTCTGGGACTAGGTCCCTTTAGAATAACAGTATTGTTCATATATATTAACTATAAATCTGGTCAAAAGACTTATTACAATGAATAATAACAAAATACATGTAATACATTTAGTATTAATTAAGCTCTTAGGATAAATTAACGAGGACAGTTGGGTAATAGGGGTTCAGTACTACAATATTGGAGCTAAAATAATTGCATAATAATCACTGAATGAAATTAGAAAGGAAAGTAAAATCTATTTTATAGGTAAAGTATTGTAGTGATGGAATATAAAAATTAAAACAATAATAATAACTGTTAATATGTAGGGAAAGAAATTGTAAAAACTAAAACAAAAAAAAATATAAAAAAACAAATAATGATATACATATGTTCCCTAAGATATTTAAGTGATTATGCGGAAAGATTAGGAGAAGAGAAAATAAAATACATTTCACTGAAATACATTTCATGAATAACAAATTAGAACTTAAGAAAAACAAATTTTATCTACTCACGATGCTTAGTGAGTGGTGATGAAAAAAATAAAAAAATAAAAACTAAGAGAAAAAAAATAATGACTAAAGAAAATTAAATCCTTATAACATAGTATGTATTTAACCAGCGTCTGATTGGATTGTGAAGAGGAATTGGAATAGGAGAGTTTTAAAGGTGGATAAGGATGATGCATGGCGGATTTTTAGTGGGATGGAATTCCAGAATGCAGTGGAACGGACAACGAAGGAATGTTTAAATGATGCAGATCTGTGGAAAGGAGTGTAAAGGTCAGAAGGACGAGATCTTGTGGAGAGGGTGTGGATAGATGATTTGAATTGTAGGAGATTGTATGCGTAGGATGGACGATGACTATTGATTATTTGGTAAAGGAATGTGCCTAGGAAATATGGTCTTCGGAAGGAAGGGAAGAGCCATCCTAATTCAGCATAGTGCGAAACACGGGAATATCTCAGGGCCCCTTTGACAAATCTTACGAAGGCATTCATAATTCTTTTCAGTCTCTCCCCGAGGTCTGCCGAGAGGCCACCGTACACCACGCAGCCGTAATCAAGGTGAGGGAAGTTACTAGGAGTCTACGTGTGGAGATGGGTAGAAGATGGCGGAAGCGATGGAATAGTTTCAAGGTACCAATTGACTGTCGGGTAATGTGAGCAATATGGTGTTTCCAGGATAGGGTTTGGTCTATGAAAATGCCTAGATTTTTTACTGAGGAGGTGAAGGTAATGGGATGGTCATTTAGATACAGTATAGGTATGTTGGTATTGGCTCTGAGAAGGGGTTTGGAACCAATGACAATGGCTTGACAATGGCTATATACACTGTTTCTTCCTTTGTTGCACTAAATTCATTTGTCTTCAAATGCTTTCCAATGTTCTACCAAACACAACTTCCAAATTGGTGATACTATCTTCTACTCAACTCAAGCTCCCTGGGAGATACTCTCTCTTGTTATTCCAAACAACTAGTCTGCCAAACAACAACTGCTTGCCAAAACAAAAACCTTTGTCCCTCTCCTCTTTGGGATTTTCCTTCTTGGGAAACTACAGAGCAGCCAATTTCTTTTCTCTGCAATAGTAGAACTAGATTAGCTTGCCTTTTAATTGTTCAACATTAATTTTTTAAACCCTTTTTATTCACTTCCAATAAAGGTGTACATTACAATATATAAACAAATAAATTTTCGTTTATATATTTTTATTTTGTGAAATTAATCAAAATATGCATTTATATACATTTATCCTCAAATATGAAAATATATGCATTTATCCTCAAATATGAAAAATAAAATTTGGCTAATTGCATCACAGTGTACTAATTCGTAAAGATTTTTGATCAGCAGTTAAAAAAAAAAGTCACACAAACAAAATATGCAATTACATAAAAATGTGGGTCTTGGTTATAATCAAATAAGTAATTGAAATACAGTCTTAAAAGGAAATGGCTAGTGTCAACACAATCAATACATTAAACGGCTATGAAAAACATGTAGTAATTAATTGTTTGAAATAATGTTTTGTATAGCCTATAATTTTTACTTTTACTTCCCTTTGTTTGAAAATTCTTATTTCTACTAAGAAGAGGGTGGTAAGTAAAAGTTGTATGATGCACACACCGCACCAGATTTTTACTTTTACTTAACTATATATGTAGTATATACTAAGGATAAGTATTGCAATGGTGAAAATTTTTTAATCTGAGTTTTCAACGGAAATACACGTTTTGAGGTCCCCTGTGTTCAAATAATCTTCTCTTCTTCTTTGTCTTCCTCACAATGCCATTTCTAGCATCGAGGAGCCTCTATCCAACGCAGCCACCCTTCCCGGTCTCTGCTTAACCGCTTCATTTGGTTGAAGGATTTGCCTCTTATACCTCCGATCCTCTCCATGAACTCCTGATATGAGACTCTGGGACGCCCTCGTGGCCTCTTCCCTGTGGGTCGAGCCTCTAATATCTTTATAGGGTCCATGTCCTCGTTCATGGCGGCAGACATGTCCAAACCACTTTAATTGCCTCTTCTCCAAGGTAGTTTTGAGTTCAGGCACTTCCAGCTGTTCTATGATAGTTTCATTTCTAATGCGATCCCTCCTAGTTTTGCCCACCGATCTACGTAGGCATCGCATTTCCGCTGCTGTTATGCGACTATAATGTTTGTCCAACATAGTCCAACTTTCTCTGCCGTAGGTGAGAATAGGAAGGTATGCAGACTTATAGACGTGCATTTTGGTATTATTATCCACTTCACGGCAGCTGAGGATACTGCTAGCGATCTGGTGATATACTTGATTCGCTTTAGACATTCTATACGAAATCTCAGCATCTATCTTACCAGCGTTAGCAATTGTTCAAATAATCAAGTTCCCCAAAATGGTGTGTACGTGCTTGCGTGTGTGTGTGTGTATGCTGTGTGATAATTAACATAAGAAGAAATAAGAGTTAGTAATAGATAATAGTTGGTATTATTTTATATTTAATTGTATAGAATGCAGCTATATAAAAATTAAAATTTGTATATATATAAAGGTATTTGAACAAATAAAAATACCCACTATGAATTGTAAATAAATATAGCGTCTATAATTTTTATTTTCACTTTCCCTTTGTCTGAAAATACTTATTTCTGTCAGAGGGCGGAAAGTGAAAGTTGTGTGGTGCGTGCACCAGATTTTTTTTAAATACTCATAATTCATTTTATTCATTGTTTGTTAATTCTGTTAAGTTAGTCAGATATATGTTTTTGGAATCAAAATTGGAAATTGTCCATTTTTATTGCTAATGAGTCCGTTGTTATAAATAGTTTGATTTAAAAACTAAGTATCTCTCCTATGTAATCTAAAATCAGCCTTAACTACTAAACTTATGTGTATTGTTAAAATGTACAATAAAAATTTAAGTGTTGACATAAAATTTTCATTTCATCGAGTCTTTACTACAAAAAAATTGAATAATGATTGACTAGATTTAACGAAAGAATTTGCATGAGAATTTCTACTTCATAATTTAGAGAATATCAAAATATAATCCAGTTTTATAGATCCTTTTTCCAGCTTTCAGAAATTATGGATTTTGACAAATAAAGCTTCAAAAGAAAAGAAGTTCCATGGTGAGATGACAAATCCCAGTTTCAATCCCTAAATTTGTGGTGCAAGTTTAATAAAGGTTATTTTAAAATGTAAGTTGTATCTCTAATAGTGGTTATTCAGCAGTTATCGGAGACCGAACAAGTTATATTTAAAAGATATTGTGGTATTCATCCTTGACCTTCTTAGAACATACCAGACCTTGCATTTTAAAGTACTAAAATTTAATATTTTCGAGATAATACAAGGGGTCATCATCATTGTTGGAATAGCCTCTTAGATGTATCTGCCATGGGATACTTATTATGTATCATTCTATGGATTTTTAACAATTAAAATATCATTATTTTAATATAGTCTGTAGTGGGCTAACAATCTATTTAAAATTTTA